CACACACACACACACACACACACACAGAGAGAGAGAGAATTAATAGAAAGATTATGGTTTGGGATAGCCAGAGCAAAAATGCTAGGCTCTATCCCTAACATAACTAAAGCAAAACTTAAATGGCTCTGGTGGTAGAACCTGTCTAGCTAGTTTGAGCCCCTGAGTTCAATTCCTAGGACCATGAAGAGGAAGAAAACCAGATCTTGAAATATGACTCTGTTATTTACAGTTAAACCCCTCAGTTTTCTCTTTCTATGAAAAGCAACAGTGACTTCTGCCTTACAAGATTGCTGACAGGATTAAAGTAATGAACATGTTTTGTAAGCAGCTCAGTACCTGACACAATAGTCTTGGAAAAAACTGGTCTCCTTTCAGGTTTTATCTGTCCTAGAAATAAGTTGACTCCTTTTTTGCCTTTTGTTTACCTCAGAGGATGATGTTAGTGAAAATGTTGGAGTAAAGAACTACAAAATTCTACCATCAACAGCCACAAAAACGGACAAAAACTGCCAGAATAAACTTCTTCAGAATTCTAGAAAATAACTGAAGGCTTGCAACAAGTCAAGGAGCATTTAGACAGGCAAAATGGTCTTGGTGTCAGTGAAAACAGTATGTATAGGCCAATTGCCAGTGGTTCACACTTGTAATCCCAGCTACTCTGGAAGCTGAGATCTAAGGATCCCAGTTCAAAGCCAGCCTTGGCAGAAAAGCCCATGAGACTTTTATCTTCAGTTAACCACCAAAAATCTAGAAGTAGAGCTGTGGCTCAAGTGGGAGAGGGCCAGCTTTGAGCAGAAAAGCTTTTGAGCATTTTAAAAAAAAGCACTCAAGCCCTGAGTTCAAGCCCCAATACCAACACACACACACACACACACACACACACACACACATACAACCAGTATGCTTTGTGTGGCCTGTTAACTGACCGAATCCCATATACCACTTCCAAGTTCAATGGTACTGTGAAAATAAAACCCACATTCCTAGCCCCAGACAGAGCAGAACAGATCCATTCACAATGAGTTATTTGTTCTGTCTGGTAGCTTCTTGGAAGACTGGCTCAAAAGGTTTGTCTTTGTTTTGCCTAAGAATTGAAACAGTGTTCAAGCTGCTACCTGAAGGGCATGTGTTAAATATTTAACAGGCAAAGTTTCAGTCCCTGTTACCTAAGGCAATAGAAATCTACCTGGGCAAATACACCTAACAGAAATCTTTGGAGGAAATGCTGGGGAATGAAGTGTACATAATGCTATGAAAATCTCAGATATATTCCTAAGAATCTAGACAGCCAACATATATCCAAGGACGTGAACATGTTTAGGAAAGACTTGAGGAAGCCATAAACTGTCACTCCTGCCTAACTGTGATGTTCTGAGCAGGAGGGCTAAAGCAGGTGAAAGGAATCAGAAAGATAATTAGTGAATATTTTCAGACAAAGATAAAGAAAAATAGAACATATCAAAATGTACTGACTGACTTCTGTAATCCCAGTACTCAGGAAGCGGTGGCAGGAGGATCTTGAATTCAAGACCAGCCTGGGCTACATCACAAGATCCTGTATCAAAGACAAACACACACACACACACACACACACACACACACACAGAATACAGTTGCACTAGTACTTGGGTAATTTTATAGACTCCAATCAATAACTTCTTACCTTAAGAAACTAGAAAAGAAGCTGGGCGCTGGTGGTTCAAGCCTGTAATCCTAGCTACTCAGGAGGCTGAGATCTGAGGATCATGGTTCAAAGCCAGCCCAGGCAGAAAAGTCTGTGAGACTCTGATCTCCAATAAACCACTAGAAAACCGGAAGTGGCGCTGTGGCTCTAGAGGCAGAGTGCTAGCCTTGAGCTAAAGAGCTGAGGGACAGCACCCAGGCCCAGAGTTCAAGCCCCACGACTGACCAAAAAAAAAAAAAAAAGAAACTAGAAAAGATAGATCTATGGGGCTGAGAATGTGGCTTAGTGGTAAGAGTGCTTGCCTAGAATGCATGAAGCCCTGGGTTTGATTCTTCAATACCACATAACCAGAAAAAGCTGGAAGGGATGCTGTGGCTCAAGTGGTAGAGTGCTAGCCTTGATTGAGCAAGAGAAACTCAAGGACAGTGCCCAGTCTCTGACCTCAAGCCCCAAAAATGGCAAAAGAAAAAAAAAGGAAAGAAAAGATATATCCAAGCCCAAATCAAGAAGATGTTAAGAAATAATACAGATTATAGCAAAATAAACAAAATAGAGAGTATATAAAATCAATGAAACGAAATGTTGATTCTTGGCCAGGCACCACTAGCCCACACCTATAATCCTAACATACACAGGAAGCTGAGATCTGAAGATTGCAGTTCAAAGCTAGCCTGGGCAGGAAGTCCATGAGACTCTTATCTCCAATAAACCACTCAGAAAACTGGAAGTGGCATTGTGGCTCAAGTGGTAGAGCACTAGCTTTGAGCTGAAATGCTGAGTGACAGTGCCCAGGCCAGAGTTCGAGTCCTACAACCAACAACAACAACAAAAAAAGTTGATTGTTTGAAAAGACCAACTAATCTTTACCTACACAATTGAGAAATCTTTATTTAAACTGACCAAGAAAATAAGAGAGACAAGTCTGGCTCTGGTAGCTCACGCCTATAATTCTAGCTAGTCAAGAGGCTGAGATCTGAGGATCATGGTTCAAAGGCAGCTAGACGAGGAAGAAAAGTCTGTGAAACTCTGATCTCCAATTAACAACCAGAAAAATCTGAAGTGATGCTGTAGCTCAAAGTGGTAGACTGCTAGCCTTGAGCAAAATAGCTCAGGGCAGCTGGGAGCTGGTGGCTCATGCTTGTAATCCCAGCTATACCTACTCGGGAGTCTTTGATATGAGGATAGCAGTTCAAAGCCAGCCTGGTCAGGAAAGTCCGTAAGACTTTTTTTTTTTTTTTTGGTCATGGGTCTTGAGCTCTGGCCTGGGCACTGTCCCTCAACTCTTCAGCTCAAGGCTAGTGCTCTACCACTTGAGCCACAGCTCATGCCTGTAATACCAGCTACTCAGGCACTGAGATCTTTAAGGATGACAGTTTGAGGCTAACCTGGGTAGAAAAATCCCTTAGACTCCATCTCTAATATAACCAACAGAAAGCGAAGTTAGAGTCATAGCTAAAATGGGAGAGTGTCAGCTAATCAAGCAAACCAAGCAAATAGGAAGCCCTGAGTTCCAACACCAATACTATAGTAAGAAAAAAAGTTCCTATGAAGACATCGAAAACTGTAATATATTAAACAACTGTCCTCTGGTACATTCTCGTGGGAAATCCACATATTCTTGTCATCAATGAATGTACATCTAGCTTCCTGGAACTTTTTTTTTTTGTCGGTGGTGGGGCCTGAATTTTATGAATGTGCATTTAACTTCCTGGAACTTTTTTTTTTTTTGTCGGTGGTAGGGCCTGAACTTTGGGCCTGGGTGCTGTCCCTCAGCTCTTCAGCTCAAGGTTAGCACCCTATCACTTGAGCCACAGCACCAATTCTGTTTATGTGGTGCTGAGGAATCAAACCTAGGGCCTCATGCATGCGAGGCAAGCAGTTTACCACTAAGCCACCTTCCTAGCCCTCCTGGAACTTTTTATAATGCACTCAGGGTAAGACATATTATTCATATAATCTAAGAATAGCATAGAGCAGAGCCTATGAAATGGTGTCCATGACAGATTCATAACATCCTTTCTAAACAAACCAGACTATGACCTCTGAATATTTCTTAATTGGTTCCAGGCAGCTACCACCACTAAATTTAAACTGGAATGAAAAATGAAATCCATTTGCTCTGCTGAAATAGAATCTAGTCCTCAGACTTGGAAGTATGACCTTTTCAAAAAACCTCTGTTAGCCAGGCACTGGTGTCTGATTTCTGTAATCCTAGCTATCCAAGAGTGAGATCTGAGAATAGCAGCTCAAAGCCAGCCTAAGCAGGAAAGTTAGTGAGACTATTATCCCAAGCAGGAAGATTATGAGTTCTAGATTAGCTCTAGATTAGCCTGATCGACATTAGCAAGACCTTGTCTCAATGCTCCCCCCACCCCCAGGTCTTTTTAAATAACTTCTCCATATTATTTCTTAAAAGTATCAAATGAGGGTAAGAGAGAAAATGGCTGGAAGAGTGGGAGAGGAAAAGAGGGTCAAGTGGAAGAGGAGGAAAGCAGAAATATATGAAATGAGCAGAGAGGACCAGAGAGCAGCCAGAAGCCACAGGGACTATTCTGCTGAAGACTTCAGTCTAAGGCACACTGGGAAAGATAGGGAATGTCACTTTGCCGGTCCCCACTTCCCTGGCACTTACTTTGGATGCTTGAAGGCCATCAGACACCTCTCGTACTTCCCCACCATGCTCCAGCCCATGACCAGGCCATCAGCACCTCCCGAGACGAGATGCCACTCATCAAAGAACAGGCACCTCACAATTCCCTCATGCCCCATGAGAGTCTAGGAGAAAAGAGGACACTGTTTTCAGACCCTCTTTAACTTGGATTTTAACTCCTCCAAGTTCAGGCCCTTTGTTCAATGAATCCCAAAGCCACCCTACCCATCAGGACTGCTACTTGCTTGGCATGTCCCTGAGCTGATTATTTCTGCTCAAAGAAGGCCAGAGGAGTCAGTCCCTGCCTCCTCTCTGCAGAGCTCTCTCCCCAGCTCAGGAGGAATAGGACCAGGAAGGGTCCCACCCTGGGCTCCTCCTTGCCCGGGCCTAGTGGGTTCAGGGGATATTACTGTTCCTGCAGTTGAGGTTCAACCACAATGACAAAAACCCACAAGCCAAGCCAACCACTTTTTACTGTGATCCTACATTCCTAGTCCACCAAGATCAAGGGGTTCGAATCCAGTAAAAGCAAGGTAATGAATGTCTGCAGTTGTCTGGTGTGTCTTATGGAATTCCTGTGTTGAAAATTTAATCTCATAAATCATATGCTAATGGTGTCTGGAGCTAGGTAGGGCCTTGGGGAGATAGCTGTAAGTGAAGCTCTGTCCCCACAAGTGAATTAATCCATTCATGGATTATCACAGCAGTGGGTGGCTTTGTTACCAAAAAAAAAGCAGTGCTGTCTCATGTGTTTTTTTCTATCTCACTGTCTGGTGTTTTCCTCCATGACATGACCTAGCAGGAATCCCTCAAGCAGGTGCCAGTGCTGTGGTCTTGGTCTTCTATGACCCAAATAAACCTCCAATCTTTATAAATTACCCAAGCTCAGGTATGTTGTTAATGCAAAAGGAAATTATCTAGGGCTGGGAATGTGGCTCAGTGGTGGAGTGCTTGGCTCGCATGCATGAGGCCCTGGATTAGATTCCTCAACAGCACATACACAGAAAAAGCTGGAAATGGCACTGTGGCTCAAGTGGTAGAGCGCTAGCCTTGAGCAAAAGCAGCTCAGGGACAGTGCCCAGGCCCTGAGTTGAAGCCCCAGGACTGGCAAAAAAGAAAGAAAATGATCGAAAGTAATTTCCAATCACTTTAAGGCAGCCAATGTTCTTTCTTCATTAGAGGGTAGTGAGGAAACGAGCCAATCATCCAATGTTTTCTCCTTATCAAAAGAGTAAAGGATGTTGGGTACCTGTGGCACCTAGCTACTCAGGAGTCTAAGATTTGAAGATCATGGTTCATAGTTGGTCTGGGCAGGAAAGTCCCGTGGGACTTTTGTATCAAACCAGAAAACCAGAAGTGGTGCTGTGGCTCAAAGTGGTAGAGCACTACGCTTGAGTGAAAAAGGTCAGGGACAGTGCCCAGAGTCTTGAGATCAAACCCCACAACTGACCAAAAAAAAAAAAATGTAAAGGGAAAGAAGACAACAACGATGAAGAAACCTGTTCATCTTCTCCTTGCCCCAGCTAGGGTTAAGGTAGAATATTCTGGAAAAGAAAAAGGTACTTTACCTGTGTGAAAAAGCCCTGCGATTCATATAGGGTGCTGAGTTATAATGTAGCCTCCTCTACTTATCCCATGCCAATATGGTCATGATGGAGGGGGGACTTGTACTACTAACTGAGAATAACCCCCCGGGGAAGCTTTGTTGTTGGCTTTTGTTAGTGGCTGTAACTCAGTTGCTTCAAGTTGGTCTGGGGAGCTCCAGGGAGGAGGACAAATCATCCATCTCTTCTCATCATTCACCACCAGTGCTCCCAGCCTTCTGCCTGCTCACCTTTACCAGCTGGGTGTTAGCAATGTGCCACACTTTGATGAGCCCTTTCTCACAGGTGCTTATAATGTAGGTTTCACTTATCTTGATGGCTGAGATGGGGTCTTTGTGTTTAAATGTCTTCAGGCACTTCCCAGATTCTAATTCCCACTCTGAATGAAAGAGGGAGAGAGGGAAGGCAAGGAGGAAAGGGATAAGGGAGGGTTAGAGTGGTATTTTCCTATCACAAAAGCAAAGGCTAAACCCGGTGCCGTGGCTCTCGCCTACAATCCTAGCTACTCGGGAAGCTGAGATCTGAGGTTAGCAGTTCAAAGCCAGCCCAGGCAAGAAAGTCCATGAGACTCTTATCTCCAATAAACCACCAGAAAACTGAAAGTGGCGCTGTGGCTCAAGTGGTAGAGTGCTAGCCTTGAGCTGAAGAGCTGAGGGACAGCACCCAGGCCCAGAGTTCAAGTCCCATGACTGACAAAAAAAAAAAAAGAATAGATTTATTAGACATCAACCATTTATCAATTAGGTCCCAGGACTAAGTTACAGAGTCAGAGCCAAGGTCGTCTGTAATGCTAGCTCCAATGACCCAGGGAGTTCTGTGTGAGCCTGCAGAGATGGTCTTTGGGGTCTGGGCTCATCTAGACTTTGCTTTTTGTTGTTGAGCTCTTCAGCTCAAGGCTAGCACTCTACCACTTGAGCCACAGCGCCACTTCTAGCTTTTTCTGTTTATGTGGGGCTGAGGAATTGAACGCAGGGCCTCATGTATGCAAGGCAAGCACTCTACCCCTGGAGCCACCTTCCCAGCCCAATAAGCCTACTCTTTAAGCCTAAATGGAATTCATGGGGGATGTCTAGTGTTATTTCTTCCTTATCCATACCTAAGATCACCAAAAGATACAAAAGTGGTTTATCTTCACTGGGGTTTGAATTTGTTATGCAGGTATTCTGCCACTTGAACCATACCTTCAAACCCTCACCTGGGACATTTTCACCCCAGCTGTTGCATTCCCTAAAGCAATCAGGGAGAAGGATAAGAAATTCAAGGGTAGGATTTCCCTAGCAAATCTGATCATTTCCTACTTTTCCCCCATCTGCCTCTGACATACTGTAGCTTCCCAGGTCCCTGGCTTCTCTTCTCTTTTCAATCTTCCTTCCTGCTTTTCTGGAGGAACCCATAGATATGAGTTCCACATGTTTACATTTTTTTAACAGTTGTTGAGACAGGATCTCATTATATAGCCCATATTATCCTAGAATGTATGATCTTCCAGCTTCAGCTTCTAGAGTGCAGAGACTATAGGTGTAGACTCCCAGGCTTAGATCACATCCTCCAATACAACCAAGCATAGATTTAAAAAAATATTGGGGGAAACAGGACAGTATCAGGCTGAAGATGTGGCTCAAGTGAAAGAGTACTTGTCTAGCAATCATGAGGCCTTGAGTTCAAATCCTAATACCACACACACATGTATGTATATGTATATAGTACAGTGTAGAACCCATTCAAAAAGTATTTGCATTATATTCAGCATTGTAAGTAATTTAGAGATGTTTAAATTACAGGAGAAAAGTGTGAATGTGGGTACACAAATACTATGCCATTTTATAGAAGGGCTCTGAGTATTTATGGAGTCCTGAACACAGAGGGATGACTGTGTTTATATACTAACTGCCAAATGCATGTATCTGGAGCCCTGGATGGGGATATTCACACCTGCATCCGCTTCCAGGATACTCTTCCCTGTGTGTTCTCAGAACTTCATGCTCCTTGTGTGAGTTTTCTATGGATACGAGGACAAATTACCACAAGCATAGCAACTGAAAACAACACAAATATACCATCTTACAGAAGTCTGATATGATGCCAAAGGGCTAAAATCAAGGTGTCAGTAGGAATTTGCTCTTTGATGAGGCTGGAGGTTAATTTCTTTGCCCTTCCATGTGACTTTCTGGAAGGCCCACATTCCCTGGCTCGTTGCCCCTTCCTTTACTTTCACACACAGTCAGCAATGTTGTGTATCTCTGAACATTCTTCCATAGCTACATTTCACTTTGTTCACACCAAGAATGGTTCTCTGAGTACCAAGTAAACACACAGGGCTCACCACAATAATAATACAGGGTAATCTCCTCATTTTAGCGTTTTAGATTTAATCATATCTGCAAAGCTTCTTTTTTTTTTTTTAATGACAACCATTGTGATTCCCTGTAGCTTAGGATGTCAGGGGCACACTACCACATTCAACTATTGCTTGTGAAGGAATCTGAACTTTTATGTCCTGGCTAGCCTTAAAAAATAATCCCCAAATCTCCACCTTTCAAGTAGCTAGCATTAGAGACCTGAGTCACTAAACCTCTTTTCAAAGCTCTTTTTGCCATGGAAATTATGTTAGTCTATTTTGCTTTACACTAACAATGTATCTGAAGAAGTCTAATTTATGAAAGTTTGTAAGTTCAAGGACATGGTGCTGGCATTGGCTCAGCTCTGGTCTCTTGCTGTGTCACAGGACCTTTACATGTCATGTGTGGCAGGCACACTGCCAAACCAGGAATTCAGAAAAAGATTGGGGTCTAGAGGCAGTGCGCCAACTGGCCTACGGACTTCCCACCAGGGGCTGGGAAGGTGGCTCAGTGGTAGAGCGCTTGCCTTGCATGCCTGAGGCCCTGGGTTCGATTCCTCAGCACCACATAAGCAAAAAGAAAAAAGTCAGAAGTGGCACTGTGGCTCAAGAGGTAGAGCACTAGCCTTGAGCTGAAGAGCTAAGGGACAGCGCCCAGACCCAGAGTTCAGGCCTCACGACCGGACCCCCCATCCTCCCCCAAAAAAAGACTTCCCACCAGAGCCCACTTTTTTTCTTTTTAAAATTTTTAGGTGTGAGACCAGTACTTGAACTTGGTACCTAATGCTTTGACTCATTGACTAGCACTCTACCAACCAAGCCATGCCACTTACCCTTAGGGGTTGGTTTCTTTTTTTCTTTTTTTCAGCACTCACTTCTTAAAGATTCTATCATGTCCTACATTACACTGGAGATCAAATTCCAGCACATGAAAATATTACTCAATTTTAGCACAAAATAATTTCAAGGATTAGGATGTAAACACTTTTGCTTGGCCTTTCTTCTGCATACCATACTTAACATGTCTAAAACGGAACCTGTGACCTCTTCCCCATCCATTTTCCTATTCTGCTCTTCCCTTGTAGTCTTAGTATTTCAACTTATGGCATTTCCATATATCTATGACCTGAGTGGATTTTTTAAATGGCCTATCACATGCTCTTTATCTCACTTTTTGTTCCAAGTTGGTGGTTAAATCTTGTTGATTTTTCCATCTCCTATTGGCCTGGACCTCTGAATATAAATCATGTCTGCCTGTTTCTTCACACTTGCTTGTTTTCAGATATCCTTTTTGTAAATCTTTTTTTTTTGTTTTTGTTTTTGGTCATGGGGCTTGAACTCTAGGCTTTCCCTCAGCTCTTCAGCTCAAGGCTAGCACTCTACCACTTGAGCCACAGCGCCACTTCCAGTTTTCTGAATGGTTTGTTGGAGATAAGAGTCTCATGGACTTTCCTGCCCAGGCTAGCTTTGAACCACAATCCTCAAGTCTCAGCCTCCTGAGTAGCTAGGATTACAAGCATGAGCCACTGGTGCCTGGCTGTAAATCAATTTTTATTAGCATATGTTAGTTATACAAGGAGGTTTCACTTGTGACATTCTCATACATGCATACAATGTATATTGATCAACCTTCTTCACAACCCCTTCTTCACTCTCTCCCTTCTTAAAACAATTTCAACAGGTTTCACTGTTCTATTTTCATACATGCAGGTAAAGCACATCAGCCATATTCATCCTCATTAACCTTCTTCATTAGCCCTCCCCCTCCCACTTTACCCACCCTGTATCTGAGCCTGTTTTCTTTTCCTGTCCTTTCTTCCTTCCTTCCTTCTTTCCTTCCTTCCTTCCTTCCTTCCTTCCTTCCTTCCTTCCTCCCTTTCTTTTTGCCTGAGGTTTTGAACTCAGAGCCTGGGCACTGTCCTTGAGCTTCTTTTGCTCGAAGATAGCACTCTACCACTTGAGCCACAGCACCATTTACAGTTTTTTCTGTTTATGTGGTACCAAGAAATGGAATCCAGGGCTTTATGCATGCTAAGCAAGCACTCCACCACTAAGCCACATTCCCAGTTAGTTCCTGGCATTCATTTCTTTAGTATGCATTTAAGTACACCAAGGGTTTTTGCCTTGATATTTCAGACATGCACATATATTTCTCAGAATAATACTCTCTATTGCTTTCTCATTTCCCTTCCTTCTCAATCCTGATCAACAGTTTCCATCAAGGTTCTTTGTGCTATCTTCATAGGTAGTCATAATGTATTTCAAAATTTGTTATGCTCAATTTTTCTCTTTTTGTCTTCCCTTCCCCTCAGCCGGCTAAACAGTCACATAGCTAGCATCATGTTCTGTGTGTTTATATATATGAGAGAGTTGCCTGTCATAAAATTGATACTCCAAAACAACTGTTTTCATTCACATAATTACTATACCCTCATCATACAGTTACATGTTTTCTACCATTAAAACTCCAAGAGCCTTTGAGGAAATAAAATTTCATATTTAAAGAACCATATAATTTTTTCCTCAACAGCCCTTAGCACAAAGTCTAGTATGTAGATCTTCAATGGAATGACTAGATTGATAGATCTATAGATGGGTGGAAAAAATAAAGCAATAAATTACTACACAAGGAAATGAGCAAAATGCAAGCCAAGAGTGATGGCATACACCTGTAATCTTAGCTCTCAGGAGATTGTATGCAGGAGGATCATAAATTTGAGGCCAGCATACTAAGTTTGAGGCTAGCCTCATACTAAGTCTGACGCTAGTTTGGGTTATGTAGGAAAACCTTATGTACAGAGAAAGAGAGAGACAGAAAGAGAGAGAGAGAGAGAGACAGAGAGAGGAGAAAAAAGAGAATGAAGGAGAGAGAAAGGAAGGAAGAAGGAAAAAAGAAAGAAGGAAAGAAGAAAAGAGAAGAGATGGAATGAGAGAGAGAGGAAGGAAGGAAAAAAACAAGGAAAGAAGGAAGGAGGGAGGAAGAGGAGGGAGGGAGGGAAGGAGAGAAAAGGAGAGAAAAAGGTATGGAGAAAGGGTTTTGATAACTCAAAGTTTTGGAGACATTTTTTAGAAAATTTAAAGCAGTTCTCACCTTTCACCTGGCCATCTTTTGCTCCAGATGCAAGCTTGTTCTTATAGACATCCATGCAAGTGATTGTCCCCTGGTGGCCATAGAAGATTTTTATGCAACTCCCAGTTTTCAGATCCCAGTATCTGCAGGAATTTTTTTTTAATATTGAGAATTTTCTGAAAGCCCAAAAAATCCTTTAGATCAATAGTTGCTTAAAAGGCAGCCAAGTTCCCTGTTGCAGCACTATTTGTCTAATTTCTGTGTCAACTCCACGTCCACATTGGCACTACTACTACTACTAGTAGTAACATTATAGTTTTTTTCTGTGAATAATTAAATGCACAAATAGTGGTTGTCAATCAGAGATGATATCTATTCTCAGGAGAAATTTGGAAGTAGATAAAGAGATTATTGGTGGTTACAAGCAGGGAGAGAAAAGCTAGTCCAGAATGCTATTAAACATCAGCTAAAGCACAGAACAATCCCCCAAATGCTGCCAAAACCAAAACCAACCAACCAACCAAAAACATCCTCATGCATGTGGCTACCAAATGACTCAGGAAAGAACAAGCATCCCTGGAAAGAATTATAAACTAGAAATGATGTAAATGTCCAAAAGCAGAAGAATGAGTGAGCTATGACATATTCATCTAATAAATTACTGTATCTCTGGAAAATAAATTAATGACTGTTACTATGTGATAGGGAGGTATGTCAACAACAGGGTTCAGTGGAAAAATTAGGTACTGATAACTTCTTTTTCTTGTGCTGATATTGAGGTTTGAACGTAGAACTTGGGTACTGTCCTTTAGCTTTGTTGCTCAAGGCTAGCACTCTACTTCTTGATCCACAGCTTCACTTCTGGATTTTTGGTGGTTAACTGGAGATAAGAGTCTCATGGACATTCACACCCAGACTATTTGAACCATGATCCTTAGATCTCAACCTCCTGAGTAGCTAGGATTACCGATTTGTGCCACCAGTACCCAGCTCTTTTATATTTCTTTATAGTTTTTTTCAAAATATATGAGCTACTTTTGCCTTTTTCTGAATTTAACATAAATGAAATAATATTTTATTTTATTTATTTGTTTTTGTCAGTTGAACTCTGGGCATGGACGTGGTCCCTCAGTTCTTCAGCTCAAGGCTAGCGGTCTACCACCTGGGCCACAGCGCTACTTCTGGTTTTCTGGTGGTTAATTAGAGATAAGAATCTCACAGACTTTCCTGCCTGGGCTGACCTTGAACTTTGATCCTCAGATCTCAGCTTCCTGAGTAGCTAGGATTACAGGTGTGAGTCACTGGTACCCAGCTGGAATCATATTTTAAAAAGTTATCAGGCCAGGAGTCAGTGGCTCAATATGCCTTTTTGTGTGTGTGTGTGTGTTTTTTTTTTTTTTTTTGTGGGGCTTGAACTCTGGGCCTGGCACCGTCTCTCAGCTCTTCAGCTCAAGGCTAATGTTCTGCTACTTGAGCCCAGCACCACTTCTGGTTTTGTGGTGGTTAACTGGAGATAAGTATCATTGACTTTCCTGCCCAAGCTGGCTTTGAACCATGATCCTGAGACCTCAGCCTCCTTAGCAGATAGAACGTGAGTCACAAGTGCCTGGCTCAGTCTGAGATCTGTGGATCATAGTTCAAAATCAGCCTGGACAGGAAATTCCATGAGACTCTTCTCTCCAATTGACTACCAAAAAGCTGGAAGTGGAGCTGTGGTTTCAAGTGGTAGAGTGTTAGCCTTGAGTAAAAAAATTCAGGGACAGAGCCCGGGCCCTAAGGTCAAGCCTCAGTACTCACACTAAAAAAAAAAAAAAGCCAAGAGAATAAGAGTATGAAATTTAGGGCAATTTTACAAGGTGTTGGAAGTAAGAAAGAAGCAATGAGGGAAAGAAACTGGGGATTAGGGTGAAGGAATGTTACATGTATTGGTCTGAGCAAAGGGAAGATGTGTGTTTATTATATTGTATATAATGTATAAATGTATTCTGATTAGCATACCATTTTGTTCTACGCTATATTATGTTTCATACCCATAAAAATTACTTTATGCTGGAGCAGGGGAAGAGGAGGAGGCAGAAGAGGGAGGAAGTAGAAGGGGGAGGAGGAGGAAGAGGAGGAAGAAGGAAGAGGAGGAAAAGAGGAAGATGGGGAGGGGAGAGAGGAAGGGGGAGAGAAGAAGCGGAGGGAGAAAATGGAAGGGGAGTGGGGAGACCGGAGCGGAGAGGGGGGAGGGGAGGAAAAAAGAAAAAGAAAAGAGAGGGAGGGAAGGAAAGGAAGAAGGAGGAAGAAAAGGGGGAAGAGGAGAGAGGAAAGGGGAGGGGAGGGGGGAGAAAAAAGAAAAGGGAAAAGAAAGCATTAAACATATTCTAGAAGTAACGTTTAGGATAACTTTTCGACAAATACAAAATGGAGGAAGTAGACACACTTCTTCCTTGAACTGATTTTTGGCCCCAGGTGGGAAGACAATCCTGACTCCTTGGACTGCTCACCTGATACTTAGGTCATAACTCCCACTGAGGAGAAACATTTCCTTTTCAGCGAGGAAGATGGTCCGGACGCTCCCAGCATGGCCTCGGAACTCGGTGCGCAGCTCCTTGACTTGTAAGATATCAAGAAGGTACATCTTCCGATTTGATGCCACAGCTATCAGATTTCCCCCCGAATAGTGGATGATTCTGTTTCGGTCCCACCTGAGTTTGGAGGGTCGGGGAGAGGTGGATAGCACAAGTAAAAAGAGTTGCCAGAACTTAACCTAGCACCTGACTTTTCCTGCAGTAATGAAATAATGGAAAATTCTGTTCTTTTCCATGAGTGAGACTGCAGAAAAGAAAACCAAATATTAACAGGTCACACACCATGACAAAAGTCCATTTCAGGTAGATTAAAAATCTAAAAAATGGGCTGGGAAGGTGGCTCAGTGGTAGAGAGCTTGCCTTGCATGCCTGAGGCCCTGGGTTCGATTCCTCAGCACCACATAAGAAAAAGAAAAAAGCGGGAAGTGGCACTGTGGCTCAAGTGGTAGAGCGCTAGCCTTGAGCTGAAGAGCTGAGGGACAGCGCCCAGACCCAGAGTTCAGGCCTCACAACCAGACCCCCCCAAAAAAAATCTAAAAAATATATAGGTAAATAAAGTAATTTAAAAATGGGCAAATAAAAATAACACAAAGTGTTGCTGGGTGCCAGTGTCTTAACGCCTATAATCTTAGCTACTCAGGAGGCTGAGATATGAGGATCATGCTTCAAAGCCATCCCAGGCAGGAAAGTCCATGAGACTCTTATCTCCAATAAACCACCAGGCACTGTGGCCCAAGTGGTAGAGCACTAGCCTTGAGTTGAAGAGCTGAGGGACAATGCCCAAGCCCAGAGTTGAAGGCCTGCAACCAACAAAATAATAATAGTAATAATAATAATAGAAAGTATAAAGAGGGGCTGGGAAGGTGGCTCAGTAGTAGAGCGCTTGCCTTGCGTGCATGAGGCCTGGGTTTGATTCCCCAGCACCACATAAGCAAAAAGAAAAAAGGTGGAAGTGGCACTGTGGCTCAAGTGGTAGAGTGCTAGCCTTGAGCTGAAGAGCTGAGGGACAGCGCCCAGGCCCAGAGTTCAGGCCCCACGACCGGACCCCCCCCCAAAAAAAAAAAGAAAAAAAAAAGAAAGTATAAATAATATATAATTTATTATTATTATTATTTTTTTGCTGGTCATGGGGCTTGAACTCTGGGCCTGGGCGCTGTCCCTGAGCTCTTCAGTTCGAGGCTAGCATTCTACACTTGAGACACAGCGCCACTTCTGGTTTTCTGGTGGTTTATTGAGATAAAAGTGTCACAGACTTTCCTTCCAGGGCTGGCTTTGAACTGCGATCCTCAGATCTCAGCCTCCTGAGTAGCTAGGATTGCAGGCCACTAGCTTATGCTAAACCTTTGAGGGTAGAATATATGGCACACAGAATATTTGGCCACAGAAATCTTTATTCATGTAAAACCCCAGAGGAACCTAGATGTAAAGCCTATGTGCACTGCATATCTTTTACTTTTTCTTCCTTTCTTTTCTTTTTTGCTTAACCAAGATCCAAGTTGCCTTCTTTAGGTTCAAAGGTCTGTGCTAGTGGGTTTTATGGGAAATACAAAGATGAATAAAATATGGACCTTGCTCACAATAAGCTTGTAGTCCAATAAAACCATGTGAGTTGACTTAATTTTCCAATCATAAGATTATATGTAATCCTATGCAAATAGGTAAAATATGAGCAGGAAAACCAAACGATTTATTGTCTGAATTGAGACTTTTTGTTGTTGTTGGTGGTGATCTTGGGGATTGAACTCAGGACATGGGCATTGTCCCCAAGCTTTTTCACTTAAAGCTAGCATTCTACCAGTTCCAGTTTTCTGATGGTTAATTGGAGATAAGAGTCTCACAGACTTTCCTGCCTGTGCTGGCTTCAAACTGCAATCTTCAGATCTCAGCCACCTGACTAGCTGGAATTATAGGCATGAACCACCAGTGCCCAGCTAAATTGAGACATTTTTATTGTAAAGGGGGATACTACTACTAAATACATTATGACCACAGAGGAAAGTGGAATTGTTCTAGGAAGCAGGAATGTACAGTCATTCCAAACATAAGGAGAAATGCTTGTTATTTTGTTCTCATCCCATGTGTTATATCTAGAATTTAACTATTCATCACCTAAAGAGCAGTTACCACCCTATAACCCGTAAGACTTCCCCATAGCAACTGGTCCATAACCAAAACTAAATAATCTTGTGAATAAACAATGAAAGTCAGGTAGACACTAGTGCCTTATGCCTGTAATCCTGTCTTCTCAGAAGGCTGAGATCTGGAGGATTTGAAACCAGCCTAAGACAGAAAAGTTTGATAAACTTCCTCTCCAAAATAACCAGCAAAAAGTCAAGCTGGAGGCATGGCTCAAGTGGTAGAGCCAGGCAAGCAAGTTAATTGAGCATAAGGCCCAGTACTCAACAAAAAAGCCAATTATTACAGACAGTTTTGCTAGTTTGGGTAATTAAGATGCATGGTCAAACCCCATTTCTGCTTAAAATATGAGAGTTCTAGAGGGTAGACCTCAATGTTAAGGGTGTTTAGCTCTAGCTGACAGAGTTATAGAAGATCTTTGCTTTTCTCTACATATTTTCTAGCATTTGTACTCCTCTCCCCCCATAAGCATATATTAGTTTTCAAACTGGAATAAAAAAAACAAAAAAATGTTTCAAAAAAAGAAAGATTTTGGGCATGATTACACGTGTAAAAAGTTCTTAGTCCAGGGGCTGGGAAGGTGGCTCAGTGGTAGAGCACTTGCCTTGCATGCCTGAGGCCCTGGGTTCGATTCCTCAGCACCACATAAGCAAAAAGAAAAAAGTGGGAAGTGGCGCTGTGGCTCAAGTGGTAGAGCACTAGCCTTGAGCTGAAGAGCTGAGGCCCAGGCCCAGAGTTCAGGCCCCACGACCGGACCAAAAAAAAAAAAAAGTTCTTAGTCCAAATATGGAAAATGTATAAGGGGCAGGAGTATCCTCTTCTAGCTGTAGGGGATGATACTAAATTAAACCCCTGCTGTCCAATCAGGACCCTGTTCTAGTTCCTAGAAGGATCTTGAGGACAAGGGAGGGATGCCTTCCCAAGTCAGTGGCAGGGGGCTGGGGGGAGTGTCTGGAGAACCCTACATTGCCAGTGAGGGTGACTCAAGAGTTCTTGATGCCCTAGCTTCTGAGCCTGGTACCCACGTGTCAGAGATAATGCGGATATTGTAGGTGCCACAGAAAACATTTCTCTCCTCCATCTGGACCATCTGCGTTTCCTGGTTCTGGTAGGCAGTCCACAGGCTGTAGTCACTCTAATGAGGGAATAGATGAAGTCAAGTATGGCCTTAACTTTACCCAGGGTACCATATACCCCCATTAGGCTCCCCTGGCATGGGCACAAGCATGGTGGTTGTGTGTGTGTGTGTGGCAGGGGAGGGTTCTTCCTTTTAAGGTGTTGGCTGCTGCTTTGTAGTGATAGGGAATAACTCAGGAATAGGCACCAAAGTAACCTGTTCATGGTTAGCTCAATCAAAAGTCCTACTTCATCTTTTACCTCTGCATTTTCTGCACCTTCTGGTTCGATAAACCTTCAAGGGTGGATTTCAAATGATGCCCAGAACACTTTTCTGAAAATGACTACACAAAGGGTATGTTCACAACATAAAACCACAGGTACCCCATGCCCAGACCCATGACTGAAATCAGCACAAAGCCCACTGATGAGAACTTGAGCCATCAATGAGATTACTGATGCACTGGGTACACTTTCATTTCAAGGTTTTCACAAACCTATAACCTTCACTTGTCCTGAAAGCTGTCTCGAAAAGGACATTACCTACCCACAAAATATTCCTATCATTTTACAAAGGACTTGTCAGAGGCTTAGGGAGAGCAAGGAAACATCATCAAGTCTCTTTGCTGCACAGTCTTTCCTCCCTCTCTCCATCCCTCCCTCTGTCCCTACTTCCCTTCCCTCCCTCCAGCTCTTCCTACTTCCTCCTCTCTTCCCTCCCTCATTTCTATCCCTCCCTCCATCCCTCCTGCCCTCCTTTCTTCTCTTCCTTCCTTTGTCCATCACAGTTTCTGAGCAGCTATGGCCATGCCAGACATGATAAATTCTGATCTAGATGGCTGAACTATACTTCCCAGTTTCATTCTTCCCAGCTGTACTCGACCCTTAAAGAGCCAGAAATAGCAAATCACATCAAATGGCAGGAAAGAAAAGCCAGCATGACTTTCTTGAGGCCCTCATCTTGTTTGCATCAGAGTCCTGGGAACATTTCTTCTAAAGTTTCCTTCTCAACTGTAGCCTTCTCCTCCATGCCTTTGACTTGTCCTCAGATGCCCTTGTTCCTCTACTCACACTTCTTTTTTTTTTTTTGGTGGTGGTGGGGTGGGGTGGGGTAGAGGTTAAGACAGATCTCCCTGAATAGCTCAGGTTGGCCTCTAGCTCATGATCCTCCTGCTTCAGCTGCTCAAGTGCTGACATGAAGACACGTGTCACCACACATCATTTCTTCTTCATCTTTAACCAAGTTGAGATGTCTCCAAGAAGAATCTGCTAACCCACCTCCTCTAAAGGGTACGAGTGGCTTTCCATATCCCAGTTTGAGTTAAATGAGGCTTTCCTAGGTTCTCCTGACACAAAGGATCCTGGGAATTCTTTGTCCCTGGCTCAGCTTCCAAGTTTTAGAGATAAAGCCATAGGGGTGAAATCATTGTGAGGGAAAAGACTCTGCTGTGTCACTAACCAACTGTAAGGCCTTGGGTAGGCTTGATACCACTTGGAGAGGAGTAATAACTACTTACAGTGGAAATCAAATCAAGAGTGTACAAAACTGTACACTAATTTTACAATAAAAACCTTTAAAAAAAAGAATGTACAAAAGACTGCCAGCACGGAGCCTGACACACTAGGAGCAATCAGTAGGAGGTATCATGGTGAGTAGCACCCTACCCATCTCTACCCACCTCCATCTTTTCCTAAAAGACCCGGAACTGCTTAATCTTGCTATTTCCAATGTTCTGCTTCAGTACCCATCCATGTCTCTCATTTTCTGTAAGTTATACATTCCTAGAAGGCCAAGTCTTGAGATTATTTTGTTGAGTAGTTATAAATTCCATCACACAGGGAGGTATGATATTAGTTTTGACAGATTTGTAAAGAATGTGTTTCTGGTCAGCTTGTATCTCTGCTATTTAACTGGCTGAGAGACTCAGTTTCTTTATATATAAAATGGGTGTAGCAACTGGACTCTCTGGACAGGCTGCAAGTTCTTCAGTACTTCATACTCCACTTTCTTTTACTGATCACTGCCAACCAATCTCTTATCTGCGTGATCTGCTCAGCTTCCAAAGATATAAGAGCTAAGTGACCTTGCTCAGATTCTAAGTGTTACTACATATCTTTCTTATGGGATACTAAAATTAAACCATCCCTCATTAAGTTTCCTTTGGTGACCAACCAAGAGAATACATGCCAAAGTAAAAGGATCTTCAGCAGAGAGGAGGGTGTGGGAATCTAATGGTCTTAGGAATCATTGCCATGCTGGGCAATTAGGGCATAATGTTCCAAGAGTGTACTCATTACTCTATTACTGCCTAAGCATTGCTGGGAAGATCTACACTTAATTCATGTTTCTCTTCCATCCAATAAGCAGAATGCACTACTCTCATTTCTGAGCAGCAAACTCAAGAAACCTCAAGATGAGTGGAGCTGGGTTGAGGAGAATTCCAGCTATGGTTGACATCATTCCTGGCCTCTGAATTCTCCACTAAGTATCCAATTGGTGCCTTGCACATAGAATCTTAAGAAGACAACCCAATTAATCTGCTCATCCAGCAGATGGAGACATCAAGGTTAAGTAGATTGCATGATACAGAGCTCTCCCTAAAGGACTGGTATCTCCCATGAGCCTGTGTCCTGACTTGTGGGCTGAGTCTGGGTGTCAGCCTGAAATGACCAATAAGAACACAACACTCCCTGCTACTCACCCCAGATGCCATGGAGACCCACCTTTGTTCTCAGTTTCCACTTTGGAGTTTTCGCACGCATGCGTTTCCCATCATCTGTCATTTTAGGAACAGGGATAAGAAGCTTGTTGGCATAATTAGGATCTATTCCCTTTGTGTAGGATCCCTGGTTGGAAGAAAGAGACAGTGACTATTTCTCTGGGACCGCTGCCTTCTCATATAAGCGTAGAGTGCAGCACTATTCACAATAGCCAAGGCCTAAAAGCAGCCTACTGTCTACGTATAGAAGCATGGATAGAGAAAGTGTGGTATATGTACAAATGGAATACACTTAGCCATAAAGAGAAGGAGGTCCTGTCGTGCAATGATATGGGTGAAAGTGGAGGATATGGAGTAAAATAAACCAATGCAGAAAAACTACCTCAGCTCATTCATGTGGAATCTTTTGTTTTTGTTTTTATTGTTGTTGTTGGTGGTGGTGGTGGACATGGGGCTTGAACTCTGGGCCTGGACACTGTCCCTCAGCTCTTCAGCTCAAGGTGAGTGCTCGACCACTTGAGCCACAGCGCCACTTCGTTTTCTGGTGGTTAATTGGAGATAAGAGTTTCATGAGCTTTCTTGCCTGGGCTGGCTTCAAACTGAGATCTTCACATCTCAGCCTTCTGAGTAGCTAGGATATCAGACATGAGTGCCTGGCAACCCGCTGAAATGATTTGTCTTTCTGTTTTTTTTTTTTTGTCGGTCGTGGGGCTTGAACTCTGGGCTTGGGCGCTGTCCCTCAGCTCTTCAGCTCAAGGCGAGCGCTC